TGTTAAAAGTAATTGTCATTAATAAATTTCATAAAATTGGTGAAAAGATCTATCAATCTTTTTCTGGTTAACGATTCATCATTCATTATTCATCCAGCCAATTGCAAGGTTTCTAGGATGAGGATCAATGTGAAAGAAACTGGTTGGTATCTACATAAAATAGGAAAAATATATTAGAAATTCAGTAAAAAATAAAAGCATTTTTTATTTTTTTTAATAAGTGTGTTCATCGGAGTGCTAGGCGTCTTATTTTGGAAGTTTTTTGATACTCCTTTTTAGTCCAAAAGAAAAGTTCCATCTTATTTTAGAGGCAAAATTATAAAATTATCCACTTCTATTTTTTATGATCATACAGACAAATGTTGACCACTTTTTTATATTATTTTACCAACTACTCAATCAATTTGAACTCTGGATAACTCACATAATATCTTTTGACGACAACTTCTTTGTTTATTCTATCGTTTTCTACAACTAAAAGCAAATACAAAAAAGAAATATATTTAACTATCATATTACTTATTCCATCCCTAACAACAAAAAAAATCTAGCAAGAAACATATTTGAAGATTGAATTGTTACCCGATGCAAATCAACTCCTTTTTTATTCCCTTTTTTGTTTATCTTCATTTGCTGATACCATTAAAAATGGTATTTGCAAGATGGCAATAGATATTCTTGAGGTACTGAGTGAATGCCAGTTAACATCAAGAACACATATCGTAATTATGTTCAACAAAAACCAAAATCAACATCAAGATAGCCCTCAAGAAAAAAGTAAGCAAACAAAAGCTATATATATATATATATATATATATATATATATATATATATATATATATATAGAGAGAGAGAGAGAGAGAGAGAAAATGGTGAAAAAAATGAAGGAAAAGAAGAAAACAGTAACAAAATCGTATAAAATGCAAAGCAAGAGGTTGGAGTGGTATAGAAAACAAACCTATGAATAAAATCAAAAAGACAAAGGAGTTAACTATGTGTGTATATCATCTTTCTAGTTTCTGCAACAGATAGAAAAAGGGAGGCAAAGAAGGAGCGGCGATTCCCTTAATTCCTGAAAGCAATTGTAGAAATTAGGTTTTTTCATAAAAAATGAGAAATAAACACCAGAAATCGAAACATAACAAATCTTATATAAGTTATTGTGCAGAGAAACAAATAATTGGCTCGAAGAAGGAGAGCCCTAAGGTGAAACGCAAGAAATATGAAGAAATAGAAGGAGACGAAATGGATGAGTAATTGCGGTTGTGATCATAAGATGAAAGGGATTCAAGGTTACATAAGGAGTAATCAAAGAGATAAGATTATGGATTGTCTACACATAGAGACATGGGATGAGAAATTGTATCTGGATTCGAGGTCGTAGAAGGGAGAATCGATTGAATCGTTGTGAAAGAAGATGTACTCATCATTGAAATTAGTGGGAGAATCTTTCTTATGTATCTTCCAACACCATTGATCTTCATATTTTCTTCCCTGCAATAAATTGAAAAGAAAATAATGATTGTGTTAGTGATTTTCAAACCAGAACAAAAGAAACGGATAATGAGGGATGAGGTTGAGCAAATAATGATGTCATTAATAAATTTCTTAATTTTAAAAATAATTTTATTTTTGGTAAGATTTAATCGTCATTAATAGATTTCCTAATTTTAAAAATAATTTAATTTTTGGTGAGATGTAATTGTCATTAATAGATTTCTTAATTTTAAATATAATTTTATTTTTGGTTAGATTTAATTGTAATTAATAGATTTTCTAATGTTAAAAGTAATTATCATTAATAAATTTCATAAAATTGGTGGAAAAATTGACCTGATGATGTCAGCATAATGATCTAACGGTAAAAAATATATGAATGAAACAAATCAATAATCCTGATTATTGAAAGTGATGTCACAAAGTTTCTTTTATAATAATATTTAAATATTATCGTTAAGATAAAATTGGAGGGTTACATAATTTCTCGCTCTTCTTTCCATTTGGAATCGAACTTGTGTTCTTGAGTCACATTCCCAAATTTAAAGTCACAACGTCGACCTTCAAATAATTTCCCACAATAACTCTTTTGTTTTTCAATATTTTACTCAACCATGCCGGTTTCAATATCAATTATCTTTAAATTTCATAAAAAATAGCTCTTGAAATAAACTAAAATTTGATATTATAATAAAAATAAGCACTTGAAATAAATTTTAAAATTTTACATTTCGTTTGTCCGAATCTAAATGTTAACCACGAATGCCATAATGACACGCCATTAGCATTTTCTATCTTTGATTAGGATTGACTGGTCTAAGCCAACCGTTCCACTTTGATCAATTTAATAAGTCCATCGTGTAGAATCAATCACTCAACTTGATTGACAAATTACAAGTGTTGACGGTTATGAGAAGTAGTTGAGGTTGATCTTGACCGTTTTGGAGCGATCGATCATAGTCATATAGAAACACCAACATATTTCTCTTAAATTTTTAGTATTTAATTTCGTCGTTTCCAAATCTCTGAACTCACAATCTGATCAATTATGGCGACTCTCACAGTTCCTCCGACACCGTTTTCTCCCCACGACGATGCCATTCATTTATATAAAGCTTTCAAAGGTACATCTTTTAATTGCTCAAGTCAACTTCACCCATTTTCTTTACATCGTTGAATTAACGATTCGATTTTGAATGATGACATGATCAAAATCTGATTTTGATCGACACCCTCTTTTGTTTTTTCCTGATTCTTTATCAGAACGCACTCGTTTAGATTCGATCTTGGTCAAGTTTATCAATTTCACTTCTGTTGACTTCAATCAGGATTTGGATGCGATACTGCGGCAGTGATTAACATTCTTGCGCATCGAGATGCAACGCAAAGGGCGCATATCCAGCATGAATTCCAGAGGATGTATTCCGAAGATATTCTTAAACGTTTGTCTTCAGAACTTAGTGGCAAATTAGAGGTATATAGGTCAAGTTTGACTTTCGATACTCAAATATGATAGTTATAGAAATGGATGGACGTTAGATAGATCTGTAGACTGTTGTTAGATCTTGTTGACTAGAAAAGGATTGAGATAAAAAGATAAAAGCATCAAAGTGAATTCTGAATTTGGATTATATTAAGTTTGACTTTTGAAAATCATGTCACAGACTGCAGTTTTGCTTTGGATGCATGATCCAGCAGGAAGAGATGCGATTATATTAAAGCAGGCATTGACCAAAGATTTCATAAATCTTGAAGCTGTAACTGATGTCATTTGCTCACGAACTCCTTCCCAGATACAAACTGTCAAGCAAATTTATCACTCAACTTTCGGGACTTATCTTGAAAAAGACATTGAAATTCAAGCTTCCGGGGACCACGAAAAGGTCAAATCTTTTCCACTTTTTCATCAATTTATCAAGTTTTATTTATACATTTGCAAAAAAGGTTATTTTTCCAGCATCTCATGGTCAGTCCAAAAAATATCATGTGAGATGTAAATCAGGTATAGAACTGCCACATATGCGGTTGGCATACGGGCTTACTTGCTTAGTATCATTTCTGTTGTTTAGGTTATAGAAAGACATCGTTTGATTGAAAAGTTAATTTCTTGTGTAGATATTGCTTGCTTTAATAAGCAAACCACGTTACGAAGGAATGGAAGTTGATAGGGACATGGCTGCAAAAGATGCAAAGGAGTTGTACAAGGCTGGCGAAAAGAAATTAGGAACCGATGAGAAGGTGTTTGTGCACATTTTCAGTGAAAGAAGTAAAGCACATTTGGTTGCTATAAACTCATTTTACCATGACATGTATGGAGGGTCTCTTAAAAAGGTTAAAAAATATGTGCACACATTTCTATTCTACAATTTTGAATCCAAGCTTTTGCTAACCAAATGGCACATATTCTTGATTCTGAATCTCGACCATTTTGTAGGCCATAAAAAGTGAAACTTCAGGGTTATTTAAACGTGCACTTTTGACGATCTTACAATGTGCTGAAAATCCCGCAAAGTATTTTGCAAAGGTGGATTTTTTATTCGACCAATTCTTTGCTTTGTTAAATGGTGTATTCCCTTTTTTTTACAATATTATATTGATATGGAATCAAAAATGTTTGTAGGTGTTAAATAAGGCGATGAAAGGCTTGGGGACTGATGACACGACCCTTATAAGGGTGATAGTGACAAGAACTGAGATCGATATGCAATATATAAAGGCAGAGTACCATAAAAAGTACAAGAAAACTTTGAATGATGCAGTCAAATCCGAAACATCGGGCAATTACCAGACATTCCTTCTCTCTCTTCTTGGCCCAAATCACTAGGCCAAGGTCTTGTGTTTGTGCATGCTATGTATTAAATCTAAAGTTGCAATATGTGCTTGTTTTGATCCTTATACACCTATATGATTCTTGCTTATAAGAGTGATTAAATTACTTTAATTTTAAACCAAAAGTTGAATATTTTACATTCTTGCAAAAGAGTTATCCCTCCAACAACCAACTAAACAGACCCACAACGCCCCCAAGAGATACAAAAGTCTGACATAAGAGCCGAACAAATAAGAAGCCAACTCACATTGGATTTGAAAATCCCACAACTATAACTATTAGCTAACTTGAACCCTTGACCATTTCAAAAAAAAAAACCATGAACATGATCTTAGAAATTGTTATTGAAAGATTTGAACATTACCTACGCTTCTTCTAAGCTTCATATTCATTTAGGGTTCGTCTTACAAAAAAATGGAACCCCATAAGTTAAAAGCTAGGAAACTACCATCTAACAGTTTTTGAAAGTTATTCTTCCAACAACCCTAAGCTGATCCATACTGTCTTAATCTAGGAGCAATGTGAGATGTAAATCAGATACACAGCACAACATCTCCTAAGTGGCTGGCATAATAGCACATTGCCCATAAGCATACCACCCCGTAACCAACTTTGCTTGGGGCTACCACCTACTCTTAGAAAACAAGGCCAGGTGAAAGTACAAAACTACCCTCTAAGATCCTGACTCTATTTCTCCTACAACAACCACACCTTCCTTCTCTGTATCATCACAATATCTATAAGCAAAGCTTGATGGTGGTCTATCAACAGAAAGTGTACCTTCCAACACCTTCATCACTTCACCAACCGAAGGTCTCAAAAATGGCTGATTTTGCATACACCACAAAGCAATCCTCACCACTCTTTCAACCCCACTCAAATCCTCATTATCTAAATACTTCTGTTCTACAATCACTTTCTCCATCACTTGATCCAAACTATAATCTCCTGCTGCATCCCTACAACACAACACAATCTCAATCAACAGTTTCCCAAGCATGTAAATATCTTCCTCTGATGGAGACTGGTTTGATGAAGACGATGAAGATGAACACAAAAAACTTTTAATCCCAAAATCAGTCAATTTTGGCACCATTCTTTCATCAAACAACACATTTTCAAGCTTCAAATTTCCATGAGGAATGCATAGTTGACATTCAGTGTGTAGATACGCAAGAGCACGTGTAACCCCAAGAGCAATATCAACTCTTTTTTGCCAATTTCTTTCAATTTGATCCTCAAATACCCATTTGTCAGCAGACCCATTTGAGATATATTCATAAATTAACACCACCTTCTGTTTCGGCTCAAAGCAAAACCCTTTTACAGACACTAAATTCCGGTGGTGGGTGCCGCCCAAGACCGCTGTCGCCTTCACAAACTCCTTCTCCGACACCACCGTTCCCTCCACCACCTTCACCACCACCGCCATTTTTTCCGGTAGTACCCCTTTGAACACTGAAGACCCAAGAGGAGTTGAAAATCCTGAAGTGAGTTCTTCCACTTCCTTGAAAGATAATCGAACAAGTGCAATATTATTAAGGTTTGTTTTTGCCCCTATAACTATCTTCTCAGAGTTTTTTCGCCTTTTGTGATAAACAAACAAAAGGGTAAACATCTGAATCCCTAAAATAACCGAAACTGTCACTAAAATTACAAAAGCAATTGCCCCTATAACCTTTCTATAGTTACCTTGAAATGGGAAAGATATTGATTTAGGGGCGGCATTAGGGTTGCCACCCTTGGTGGCAACCGCCTGTGGGACTAAACAAACCTTCAAGAATGAAGTTGAAGGGATTGAAGGGCCTGTAGATCCACTAATAAATCCGGTTCTTTTCAAAGTGCATAAACCCGACCCATCATTCTTTGAAGTTAGTGCTAAACACGTGGTGTCATTTGAACAATATTCTTTACAAGATTCTTCACTCAACATCATATCGATATCATGAGGAGGGTATAATCCATAAAGAACGGTTTGTTTCATTACCAACATGCTTGTATGATGTTTACAGTTTGCTAAATCAACCATTTTCTTGCACCCAGAACCCGAACCGGAATCAGATGAAGGAATGGAATTCCCCTCGTCTATGGAATCGGAATACAAACAACCACAAATGGGGCCGGTGGAATTATACCCACAAACGCTGTATAACCCACAAGAACCAAACACGTTGCATTGATCTTCTACAGCTTGCCAACCAACTTTCCAAGAACGAAGAACATTATTCCATGAATATATTCTCAAGTTCCCATCTTGATCGATTCTGAGATGCCTTAAATTCACAGAAGTGTCACCAAAATCGGTACTTGATATCGACCAAATAACTTTATTACTATTATCGTATAGACCCAAAACGCCATTTGAATCGAATCGAACTTCTTTGATTGTTGCACGTGAAGTGCTCAAATTGGGTTTCCAGTAAGTGATGTTGCTTTCCCACATTAAAGCGATCCCTTCTGGATGGATTACAAATGTGTAGTAACTGGTAATCGATTTTGTGGAAGGGGGTCTGAGATTTTGTGGGTAACGGAGAAATTGGCCGGGGAGCAAGGTGTTGGTCGGCCGGTGAAAGCTTTCCCAAATGACTGTATTTTGACTGTCGATTAGAACTAGATTGCCGTTGTTCAAGAGGGTGACGGATTCAACTCCTGAATTTGAAGTATTACTACTCCAAACTATGGAATTACTAGGGTTTTCGAACAAGATCAGTCTCCCATCCATGGAAAGTTTCAATGTAGAATTGATTGGAACCCTAACACCACCACCAACAGTCCAAATAGGCAAATTTGCTGTTTTGAGACCTAAATTGTACCTAATCTCCACTACGAATTCGCCACCATCTTTCTCGAAAAACCCAAATTCGAAAATCCCATTTTCAGACACCAAGTTGTTACCTTTACGATTACCATCGACATAACTATCAGAATCATAAGCAGACCCTGAAATTTCAAAACCTAAAGGAGCTGAATCCATGGGATGTTTATCGCATAGCACGCAATTAGCGAAACCCAATAGGACTACAAGAGCGAAAGCAGAGCAAGAACAAGAAAATGTGTTGAAAGAGACGATTCTAAAGCTCTTACCTTTGATATTCTTGATGGGTATCTGAAAATCCATGAGAATAAACAAAGATTCCAACATTTTTAGCTTAAAGAAAGCAGAAAAAAAATATTGTGCTTTTGTGTGTATATGAGTGATGGGAATGGGAAGCAAGAGAAGATGAGGTTTGTTGGTTTGAAGAGATTATTTGTATTTGTTGGTGTGGTGTGGATGCAAAGTGATGTGAGTGGGGCAAGAGACGCATGTTGAGTGATCGAAGACGAGAGTGTTGTATTGGTCCATTATTTACTTATTTTAAATTTTAGATGGCGACCTATTTTGAATCTTGAAAAGATAGACGTAAAAGAAAACAAAACTTCATGTGCTTTTTGTGAAGATCGAGGTTACTATGATAAACTTGATTCCTTCTTGTCTTTTTTCCCACTAATCATGGTATCTTGTTCACTTTGCTCCTTAAATCACTCATGCAACTTTTTATGTGTGTAAATCGTTTTTGTGTTGTCAGTAAAGATAATGTTTTTAAACAAGATTGAAATTTGTAAAAATAATAATTAATTAAGTGAATCGTGAACATTTGAATTCAAAAAGTCCAAGTGAATGAAGAAACAAGTAAATAAATGCTATATTACCTAAGTGAATGAAATGTAATAAACCTAACAAAATAAAGAGTTTTTTATAATATGAAAATGAAGATGAAATTCTGATAGATGTGTACAACATTGTATTAAAGACAGACTTCCCTATTTGTGCAATAGTATCCACATGTTTGTCTTAACAATTCAAGTTATTGCATGCATTGTCTTAAAGACAGACTTCTGTATTTGTGCAATAGTATCCACATGTTTGTCTTCACAGTTCAAGTTATTGCATTTGAATTTGAATACTTGCGAACTACTCTATGGTTTTATGGCAATGATGAAAAACGAGAGAGATAATATGTTGTATGTATGGAAAAAAAACGCCCTCAAAACATATATTTCATTCTTTCATATAGCTTTTCTAGGAAAGAAGATTTACCATGCATCCGAAAATATCTCGAGGACTTCAACTTTTTATTGTGAATATATATATATATATATATATATATATATATATTAGGCCTACTCAGAGGAGGCGTAGTTAGCCTTGGCTCACCCCCACAAATTTCAAATGGCTGACATAGAAATTATGATAGCAGTGGTCCAAAAAAAAATTCCGTCTAAATATAATAACATAAAAAGAAAAAATTAAAAGTACTAATACAATAAACCAATCTATTACATCTTAATATTTAAATTTGACATCTATGGATATATATATTTTTGAAACCAATTCATTACATCATCGATCTTCACTTTCATAAGGGCTCTTCTTTTTCAACATAAGCAATCATGGCATCGTTTAAAAAATCATTACCTATTTTGTTACTCAAGTCTGCCTTCAAATACTTCATCGCAGGAAAAACATCTTTCGACTTTTGCGGTCGCGACAGGTAAAACCAAAACAAACTTCAACAACCTATAAATCATAGGATAAGACAGATGTTTCCCTGTTTCCACCATCAAACGAGAAAGGTCGGAAATTCCTTGCAAAATGCAGACTAGTGAACCATTCATCTTTATGCAAAACATGATAATATATCTCAAGTTTATCATCAAGTTGCATCATCAAAATCTTTTTTGTACAACTCACTCAATTTTAACAACTTTGTTTTGTCAAAATTAGTAAATAAATCACAAGGACTCAAAGCCCCCCATGTATTCTATTAATTGGGTGTCAAGTTCATTAAATTGGTCCCCGAATTGTATGATTTGCATATCCATAACCGTGTTGAAAAATTCAACTTCAAAATGAAATTGGTTAGTAACTTTAGTCTTACGGCCTCTCAATGTGATATAAATTTCCATCATCTCCACAATATTTATATTATGTTTTTGACAAAAAGATAATACCTTCGATAAAATTTAACAAACCGGCCCCGTGCCTCTTAAAGACTTCATTGTCGCTATTGTCCTTCTAACCAAAGAAGCCGCTTCTAAAATGTCTTGATCCTTTTTTTTAAATGCTTTGACAATACGTTTGTGAGGTGTAAAATTCCATACATTAAATGTAAGTAAAACATGAAATCACGTGTCTTGAAATATCTTAAGATACCAAATGCTTGATTTCGGTTACTTAAAGTGATCATTCCTCTTCGATATAAGCAAGAACATTAAGAACCTCCATAAATAAGTTCATCAAACTTGTAATTGTTTTGAAATGTGAACCTCGTCTTGTATCTTCCGCTCGAATAAGAGAGCTCTCTTGATTTAACCCTCTTTCGGTTTCAAGTTGACTTTTGCACCCTTTCTCTTTGACTTTCTTGTAGCATGTCTTGTCTTTTACATGAACTACCTACCACATTAACCACCAAAGAAAGTTTCTCAAAGATGTCTTCGACACCATCATGCTTCTTTGCTACACCCACAATATCTAACTGAAGTTGGTGTGCAAAGCAATGCACAAAATGCACTAAATCATTAATCAAAGCTTTTAAACCGTTGAATGCACCTCGCATATTTCTTGCCCCATTGTAACCTTGTCCTTTTACCTGATAAAAAAAATATATTAAAGATTAAAGTGAATAATATTTAATTAAGGTTCATAATAAGGAAAAATAGTTTTAATTATTTGGGACATACTCAACTTGTTACGGGTAAAAACCTCATCTATGACCGCTTTAAGAGTTAAAGAGGATGTATACTTCATGTGTACAACTCCAATGAATCTTTCCTTCACAACTTCAAGGTTGTCAACATATCTCAAAACTATGGTCATTTGTTCTTTTTTTGATACATCACTAGATTCATCAACCAATAAAGCAAACACATATTTACCAATTTATTTGCAAATACTTAAAATTATATCTATTGAAAAGCATTCATCAATATACTTTTGAGTCCTCGGGTACGTCACTTGATTATTTTGAGGAGTATTTTATAAGGTAACATTGTGAATGCCTTCATTATGATCTCTTATGAAAGATAATAACTCAAAGAAAATCCCTCTATTAAGAGAGTCATTCGACTCATCATGACCCCATAATCGTAAAAAAAAATCAATAAAAATTTACAACACCAAGTTGAAGCCCTTAAAAGAAGTTTATAGTTACTCGCCTCAATTTTGGTTTGCTTCTTGAAGGCTTCACTAATAGATTGTTTTTCATTCAATAAAAATTCACAATTTTCTCTTGCTTTGTGATGAAAACTATAAATACCACTCATGTGATCTCTCCATGATTTTTTTTAATTCCAAGTATCAAAACCTTGTGAAACAAATGCATCTCTCCTATTTTATTTTCCCACCATGTCTCCACATACATAGAAAAATAAACAAAATGTTTTGTTCTCTTTTATGCTATACTCTAACCAATCACAATCATCAAACCACTTAACAACAAAATGTCTTTCTTTTATACCTATTTTCTTCGAAAGGAATGTATGGCCCCTGGTTGACAAGGTCCTTGAAGCAAATATGTCCTTCTTATTTCATCTCTTTAATTTGGATTGTAAGTTGTAATCTTTGGTCTGACACTCGGGTCATTTGGAAGATCTTTCAATTCAACACTTGTAATTGGAGTAGTTGTAGGTTGTGGATTTACATTAGAAACTGAAGGAAATGATTGATTAGAAGGACATGGTCTTTTAGAGGATCCTTCAAACATAAATCATTAGAGCATGTTCTTTTGGAGGATTCTCCAACACTTGATTTATTGATGCTTGTTCTTCCAAAAAATGATCCAATTTTATCCTAACAATTCAATATCAAACAAGTAAACAATCCATTTATCTAACAAGTAACAACAATTTAACAACTAATTTCAAGGTAAACAACTACTAATTTCACCTAAACAATAAAGAAATTCAACAAGAAAGCAACTAGTTTGAATATATTAATAAACCTAAAAATATAAATACTTACTTGTTTCATTGTAGGTTTGAAGAGAACAAAATTGAAATAACTTGGAGCAATGGAGCTTGGGGATAAAACCGGAATTTTTTTCCTCTTCTTGTTGTTGTTTGCATCACATCTTCACAAAGAGCAAATGAGCTCTTTTTTCTGCTTTGTGCAATTGTGCTTCAGCCGACTTTGCCACACCCACAACCAGGGAATTAGGTATCGGGTTTAAGACTTTAAGTGGGCTGATATTTTATTTCCAGTGGGCTAATAATATTTTATTTTAAAATTAAGCTGCAATATTGGGTATGAAGTCTTCAATGTCATTTTTTTTTGGATTGTGAAGCCGTTGCATTATATAGAAAAAAAAACAATTACACTTATGGTCTAAATTAGAAGAGTGGTCTGGGACCCCTTGTAACCCATACATGTCCTCCATTGATTATATATAGAATTTATATTTATTTTGAATAAAAAACGCGAAGACTGTGAATTGTGACATGGCCCACCCCGTTCAAAATTTAAATTAAATAATTTAACTGTTGAAGCACGTCGATTAAAGAATTGACGCAACAATTTTTTAAATAGATCAAACTGCATTTCAATCTTCATAGGGAATCCCTCGTTCATCAAGTCCGTATATTATTATTTTTTATATTCCTAATTAATCAATTACTTCGAACTTAAACGAACAATTTACTTTAAAATCATACATTTTTACATTATGTTACCATTTGAAGTATTTTGTTATTTGTTCATATTTTATAAATTATTTGGCCAACTCTAAAAAAAATTATGGCAACGTTATTGGGCCTACTTTGTAGATAGTTAGTAGAAGTCCTGAATTAGAAGTGTCTAACATCCCAAAAATCACGACTAAAATTTTCTCTTAAGACATTACTAAAACCATATTCATAAAAAAAACCGTATCATAAATCATAACATAATTTCGTAGCATTAATTCGAAATACAAACTTATTATCAGAGTAAAACATCCCAGGCTAGATGACCATGATATGTGCACTGCAATCTTCCCGAGCTCCTCCTTTGAAAACTGAGTACCTGAAACCAAAAACTGAAACTATAAGCACGAAGCTTAGTGAGCTCCCCCAAACTACCACATACCATACAATAACATATAAAGCACATACTGGGTCTTGCCCACTGCATCGGACCGAGGTCCGGACTAACAGGGGCCTTGCCCCCCGCATCGGACCGAAGTCCGGAAACTAACTGGGACCTTGTCCCCTGCATCGGACCGAAGTCCAGAAACTAACCGGGACCTTGTCCCCTGCATCGCAACGAAGTCCAGACTAACTGGGGCCTTGTCCCCTACATCGGACCGAAGTCCGGAAACTGACTGGGACCTTGTCCCCTGCATCAGACCGAAGTCCGGACTAACTGGGGCCTTGCCCCTGCATCGGACCGAAGTCCGGAAACTGACTGAACATAGCATAGCATAACATATCAACTAGCATAAACACATATACTGCATACTGCATCGGGCCATAGCCCGGAACACATAACACATAACACATAGCGCATAAATCCTGTCTGAGCCACGAAGGCATCAAACATACTAACTACTGCATCGGGCCGAAGCCCGGAAACTACTGCTAACTAAAAAGGTCGGCATTGTGGCCTTAGACCCGTTCCTACTGGAAGGAAACTCACCTCGTGAACTAGCTGCTGAGTGTATGGCTCTGGAAGCTATCTGCTGCTGCTCCAGTATCTCCCCGACTACAATTCCACAAATACACTCAATCAAATACTAATAACTGCATTGGGGTAAAATGACTCTTTTACCCCCGGCTAAAGTCAACTCTCCCGGTCAAAGTCAACTTACAGTTGACCTGACTCGCCGAGTTGGGCCGCCAACTCGTCGAGTCCCTACTCTCACTTCTCAACCCTGCTCGTTGATACTCGTCGATTATGGCATCAACTCGACGAGTTCCCTTTCGATTCTAAAACTCAGGCTATCTGCATCCGACTCGCCGAGTTGTATGAACAACTCGACGAGTTGCTCTTGAATCTATGAAGATTGCCTTAGACTCGCCGAGTTGTATGAACAACTCGTCGAGTCCCTCCATTACTGAGTCTAACCTCTAGCTCACTGATTCCATTCTACTACTCATTGGTCCCCACTCGGAATCACTCAAAGGGGAAAAATCGGGGACTCGCGGCTCGACTCGCCGACTTCGAAGAACGAGTCGCCGAGTCGCATGCATGCAGTTACTAAAAACTCGATTCTGCTTGAATCCAGTGCATATAACTTGTAGATCTGGGCTTCTTATGCTCGATTAACACGTAAATATTCTATCTTTACGTGTCCATACACATCCATGGAGATTAAAAGGCTCAAAAGACATAATAAAGGCTAGATCTAAGGTTCTCATGCAAGGCAACTTCGAAAAGGAGATAGATCAGGGCTCTACAACTCTTAAATGAACAGATCTAGGGATATCTCGACCCAATAAGGCATCCATACAACTATAAAGCTTGGAAAATACATTAAACTAGCCTTGGAGGTGTTCTAATGGAGGTTTTAAGCACAAAACAGGATAATTCCGGGACATACCTCAATGAACTCTGATTTTGGCCTTGGATCTTTGCTCTATACTTCCTCTTTTAGGTCCTTTCTTCTTCTTCTTCTTCTTCTTCAATCCTTCAAAAATCCACACCAAAACACTTTAATCATACAAGAAAAGGTTTAGGGTTTCTCACAAGCTCTCTGAGGGTGAAGGAGGCGAGTTGGGGCACATATCATTGCTTAAATAGTGAGCAAACCCGGGGATTTAGGGTTTTCTTTGATCAGACCAGACTCGCCGAGTCGGTTGCTTACACCTCTACCCGAATCCCGCTCGGACTCGCCGAGTTCCTCCTTGGACTCGCTGAGTCTCCCCTTAAAATTGGGGTTTTCTTTCTTTTCTTGACTTTCCAAACTTTGGCTGTTACAACTCTCCCCCACTTAAACTAAACTTCGTCCTCGAAGTTCGCTACGATCCACCGACTGCGATCTACCTCCGATACCCTACCGTTCATTCTAACACCAACTGCCTACCTTCGCTGGCCACCTGCTCAGTCACTCAGACCAGTGCCAATCCTTACAGATAATAATCTCGGGTCCATCCTGACCCTGAACATTCTGGAAGCGCAACTCACTCAACCGAAAATCCTTCTGATAATCTCCAAATACTGCACTGACCCTGTAGGGGTTCACCCCTTCTTTCCTTGCACGATTTCCTCACCTTCCCAAGGCGATGCTCCATAACTACCTACCTCTTTCGTCACTGTGAAGATCCTGTCTCCACCAAGTCTATTACTCCCGCTACTCCCAGTACGGGTCATCGTCGCCAGTATCCACTGGGTATTCTTTCTACTACCATTTGGTGTCGCGCACCCTACGAACAACTGACTGAATCCTACTATACACTGCATACTCGCACTGCTACTTACTGAAAATTATGCTATTCCAAATCTGGCTTCCGGATGAACTGAGACCACCTAGGTCCAACTAATAAGACTGAACTTGCAGTCTGACACAAAATTAATACTGCCCAAAAATACTGCAAACATCTGAAGTACTGAACCGCCTGGAACACTGAACTGCCTGAAACACTGAACTGTCTGAAACACTAAACTGCCTGAAACACTAAACTGCCTGAAACACTGGACTGCCTGCAACACTGAACTGCCTGAAACACTGAACTCCCTGCAACATTGAACTGCCTGGAACACTGGACTGCCTGCAACACTGAAATGCCTGAAACACTGGACTGCCTGAAACACTGGACTGCATGCAACACTGAACTGCCTGTAACACTGGACTGCCTGCAACACTGAACTGTCTGAAACATTGAACTGCCTGAACGAAACCTTACTTTGGAACTAGTTTCCACTGGTCATCCTGTTACTGTGGTCCTAACGACCTCCCGATCCAACCGACATGGTCCAAACGTCGAATCCAAACATCAACAAATCCAAGACTATAATGATGGCTCCCAGGCTAATGGTAGCCCTTAGCATACATGAACCCCAATGGTTCGCTGCTTCACTGATCTCATGACTGTGATGACGATCCATCTGTCGCATTACTGGCTCAACCATGACTAGACTCTGGAAAATTCGAAATCCAACACGTGGATTTCCGTATGCTCGCTATTGCACACGAACTGGTGGATACTACTGCTTCTCCCCTGCGTCCAAACAACGTGCTCATGCTGTCTACTAACCTGGCGAATGCTACGGCTACACCCATAGACCTACAACCCCCAAATACTGTCTGGCTGCTAGTGAACGCTACAACTACCCCCGTAGACTTACAACACTACTACTACTGTCTTACTGCTTACCGATCACTATTTCGAGGACTTCCTGATTATCCCTAGTTCTGCTAGCAATTCCTTATCCTGACTTCTCAAAATCAGTCCTCAATCATTGGATGCTGCATCAACCTTGACATCTTATATCCTTGATGAATTAGTGTTCCGTCGAGGAATTCTTCGACTTGGTTCCCCCACCAACCGTCCACTAATCCAGAAACATGAAACTAACATTGGGAAGTTTCCAAACTTCCAACTCCTGAATCCACACAACCCTACATGCTGTCTCTACCACTGACTACTAACACGGAAACATCTCTTGCTAACCGATCTCAAGATCCTCCTTCCGCCTCAATAAAGTCCTATTGGCGGTCCTCCAACCTGGATTCCCAATCAGCTACTAACCATACCAATTACATGAACTAACTGGTGGGAAGTTCCCCAAACTCCCACTTCTGAACTCCTTGATCCACCCATTGCTATGCTACTATCCTCTCTTTTCAAAGATTGCGCACTCATTCCGGTCAGCGTGCTCTTGCCCTCGCATACTCGGAGGGTTCTCACCCACTTCGATCATGCCCACACCTCGCTACTCAATGAATAGAAATCCAAATCCTTGCTACCATTCCATAATTAATCTGCTGAGGAATCCCACGCTTACCATAGCTAGGGATCTAACCACTCCATTTCTAAAACTTATACGACTCCAAACTAGCGAGACATACCGAGTCCCTCCAAGGCATGCTGCACTTACTGCACCCTAAGTAACCTTTTTCGATAAAACCCATCCCTTGACTACTAACCAAAAATCCAAGGTATGCAGATGGCATAAAACTCGATCACAAACAGGTAATATGATACCCCAAAACATACGCT